CTTTTCGAGCACCTTGAAGCACTATCAATATATATAGCTCAGATAAATATTCTGGCTAAAAATGGGTGACATGCAATTAGCTCTTGTGGGATTCTGCCTTTAAAGTAGAGCCACTTGGGTGACTTATGGTTGGCCTGAGAAGCTCTCTCCTTCAACTTAACCCTACGGCACATTCCTCAGACTGAGGAGGCAGCAGCTAAAGAGCAATTCTGCGATTTTGCTGCTTGGGCCATTGTAATCCCTCTTGCCGTTACTTCAACTGGCCCCTGCTTCAATCTCAGTTTGTGTGGTAATAAGAGAAATATACTCATTCAATTACAACCAATCAGATCTGTTAGATCACAACAAAGGGCAGACATCATGACATCATTTGATGTCTGTGTTTGTCTCGACTAAGTGGAGGCCATTGCTGTCTAATAATGCGGAGTTTCTGATTATAGGATAAAAGATAAAATAATGATGTTCATTTTCCTCACACGCACTAGATAAGAAAACAAATCAAAAGCAGCATGTTTCATTTAATCCCAAAAGAAAAAAAATAAAAGCTTTTACTTGAAAACTTCAAAGATTTTTTATTTAACTGCAGTATGTGTCAATGACTCCCTTGTCCCCCCTCCATGAAGATACCACATGAAAAAGCGAGAGTGCTGTCATGTGATGTCTGTTTCTCTAAGTTAGCTTACGCACATTTGACGTCACCGGCTATTTAATGGGCGCCTTTGACAGTTTGGTGGGGAAAGCTTTTTTCTATAGAACACATCAATGAAATCAAGTTCTGTCCATGCCAGAGGCAATATCATCTCTTTCTGCAGGCTGACATGATCCCTCCCCTTGTGGAGAACCGCAAGGAGGTTTCCCACTGCCTCGTAATGATATTGTTGTTCCTCGATGCTTGTTGAGATCAATCAGAGTGGATGCAGGGGGCTTAAACTTTTACACCTTTCACTGGAAAGTTATGCCTTTCATTCCCATGTGAACCATAAGAAGGAAATGCTGTGCTAGGCCAAGACTGTGAAACCTCTGTGTTTTTCATTCATCTGTGCTAGGAGCTTAGTTGCTGCTCATGAGTTTTTGACTCATCCAATTTCAGATAGAAGAAATCCAGGCTGGGCTATAGGGTGTCACGCCTTCAGGAACAAGATGCTTTTGTTCTTGAGTGTCACATCGGGGCCATTCGGCTTCTTTAAGATGGTAAACAGAGGCCCCACCGTGCCATTTAATTAGCTAATTACTAACTGTGTGCATCCAATTTAGCTGCTTAACTGCATATTTAGACAACCTGAACACAAATGTATGTTGTTGTTGTTGATGATGTTTTTTAGGGGGCTATGGTGTGAGTCAGGCTGCAGTGAGGGAAATCTTACTGCACTGCACTTTATGAAATAACTCAGCACAACTTTTTGCAAGCCTAAACACAAACAACAAGAGTGTCTAATCAGATTTAACTGCCCTGTAGTTTTATGTAAATAAGATCCAACTGCAGTATTCAGCAACAGGTTATCATTACATATGTTTATGAATTCAGACAAAAACTTTTTTTAGATTTCAAGCTTCTCATGGATCTGAGCAGTGACCAGCTACTAAAAGCTACAGTGTGCCACCTACAGGTAAAGCTAATAGTTTTTAAAACTATTGTGCCACCTGAAGGCAATGAGTGGTACTGCTGCTGGTTTTAATAGCTACCGCTTTTATTCTCCTATAGTTCTAAAAAAGAAAGCAGCAAAAAAAAGTCAAACGTATACTTAGTAATACAGTTTTTTTTAAACTTTTTTAACTTTAACATAAAAAGCTAGATTTATAGAGAAAACAAAAAGAAGCCAAAAACAGAATAAAGTTTCCATTTTTCCCAGTGCTCAGCAGAATAACTGTACCAGCTACTTAAAAGTTATTTTGATAGTTTAACCCCATAACTTCCGTGCTACTCTTTAACCTTCCAGGGCCCACCCGTGGGCTATAATAGCTATAATGACTTTAATGACTAGAGTTATTACCCTTTTAGATGCAACACTGGCTGTGTTGAACTGACAAATCTTATATATGACCAACAAGTGGGTAACAATTAGTAATGAAAAAAGATTAAATTCCTAGCTAGCAGCTGGGGGGGGAAATGAAGCAAGAAGTAAAGTTATCTCTGCTGAGAATCTATATCTCCCACGGAGTGCCAGAGGGTTTAGAAAGTCTCAGAAACCTAGAAAACCACTTACTCGCCATGCTCCGTGCTGAGGTCTGCGGGACAAATGGTGGTACTCTTTTCATAAGAAAAAAGTGCTTCTGAGCATAAGAGCGCTGTTACCCATGCTGCAAACCCTAGTGGGGATGCACCCCAGTAAAAAGTGAGCTACCTTTACAATACAGAAAAAGGCAAGGCAAGTTTATTTATATAGCACAATTCACCAGCGAGGTCATTCAAAGTGCGTTACAGAGACACTAAAAAACAAAAGCAAATAAAAAGCATGATTTAAAATGGGAAAAAAGAAAGAAACAATAGATAAAATCAGTAGTTAAAATGTAAGTTTTGAAATTTAAGCTTAAAAGTAAAACAGTGTGGATTTGGTGCTTTATTCAAATGCAGCTGAGAACAGGTGAGTCTTCAACCTGGATTTAAATAAACAGTGTTTCAGCGGATCTGGGGCTTTCTGGGAGTTTGTTCCAGATATATGGAGCATAAAAGCTGAATGCAGCTTCTCCGTGTCTGGTTCTGGGAACTGATAAAAAACCGGATCCAGATGACCTGAGGGATGTGGAAGGTTCATACTGGGTCAGGAGGTCACTGATGTATTTTGGTCCTAAACCATTCAGAGCTTTCATTCAAAAGCTGCAGTTAACCCACTAACCCAAACCCTGCTTTGTTGTACAGCCCTCTGGAGAAGCTCTGTTCATGTTACGTGGATACAGAGATGTCCTCTCCCAAAAAGAGACCTTATAGGTCTGTCAGGCTGTTATCAGTTTAATGTATGTGTCTGAAGAAGTGTATGTACGATGGGTGTTGGTGCTGGCATCTTTAGATTTGGAATTGGCACTGTGCAAGAACATGAAATAGAGCTTTCTAAAAATGCTTCAGATGACCGGAAACTCCTATTATTCCTACAGCGTAACCTTCCATGCTTTTTAAGTCGTTGTGGTATGCATCAGCCCGACATGTAGCTAGATTTCTCGGGAGGTGCACGTCAGGTTAAGTAGGAGGTTGCGGTCCAGGGTTAAAATTGGGTTGCAGTTATGGCGTGAGTTACGACGTAGATCTGACTCAGCAGTATGATTCACATGTAGCATGAATCTCAGACCATGATCTTTTCCAGACTTCAAGCAGGCAGCTTTCAGTGAGTTGATGTGAGACCAAAAAAAAAGGGTGGGTTCAGATCAATACTACTAGTATTATAAAGCTGGTAGTCCTGGTCACTTTTCACACTGCAGCTTTGCTTTATTTCTATTATTGAAAAATCTGATTGTCATTTATTGTTTAACCTTTATTGTTGAGTTATTTTGCCAGAGACTAAATGCTCAATATCTGTTCATTTTATCACGGGAATTGAAGGAAAGGTTTGATGTAGTGAGCGCTGTTATTGGACAAGGGGGATAAGGATATAACAAGAGGCTTTACTTATGCAAGTTATTAAATCTATCCCTATTGTTCTGTTATCATGCCCATCCCGTACTTTTTCCACTGAACTTGGGGGGAAAATAATATCAAAACAAATTTAAAAGATTACAAGCATAACACTTGTGATTAATATTATTTAAGGTGAGAAGGTCAGGCGCTCTGCTTTCCTCTCAAAGATGAAAGGCAGTAACAATAGGGACTGCAGAAGCAGCAGAGTCTGATGTAGCCTTCCAGATGTGAGATACAATCTGGAGATTAAATCTTTAAACGTCTCTCATAAAGGAAATGGAGCATGCATCGAGCAGTGATCTCTCTGAACTGTGTCTTTTAAATGATATCAATTGGTCTGGTTTTCAGTGATGAACTACAGTATGGTATGAAAGCGAATCGTTGGTGCCTAAGATGCTTCCTGCACCTATAAAAACACAAGGTCAGTCAAATCTATTGGACAGATGATGGTAGCAGCTGCTCTAAATCAAATCAGAAAAGAGGGAGCTGTACTGGCTGGTCTGTCCATGAAGCTGCATGCTTTTTTTTTTGGTAATAAGTTAAGACTTTCGGTGTATTCGTTTTCCCCCGTGGCCAGAAACGGTAACAAAGATGGAAAAGACCAGTGACATTTGTCTGTTAAGTTATTTGTTTACTGCCAGGGAAAGAACAGCAGTGCGTGCATAACTATGAAGTGTTTCATCTCTGAGATGCGTAAGAAAATGTCTCTGAAGTTCACGGATTAAACTAGTTGATTAATTTTTCTCTTTGATCTTGTTATCATAAGGCAGAGCTGCAACAGCAGGTCGACGGGATGGGTTTGTATAGATCTGAGCTGTTCTACAAAAGCTAATAACATCAAGAATACAATACAGAAACGCACAGCTTTTTGCACGGCATTTTCTCTGACTTTCAGGATTAGCAGAGGAGGTCACAGCAGCACTGTGTCAGCATCTGAGCTCTGAATCACTATTTGTCTCCCTCTATTGGCTAAATTTATCCAAATATGATGAATTAAAAGGACTTTGTAAACATAGGAGACATTAACAACACCCCCAGAGTAAGTAAATGAGTAGGTTTAGCATTCATCTTTTGCCCTTTAGGTAGGCCTGCTTCCCCATAAACAATATTCTGTAACATTAGACTTCATGTACAAGTAGAAATAACTTAATCTCAAATACGGGTCAGGATTGCTGAAAGACCTATTACATAAAAAAAAAAAAAAAAAGAAAGAAAGAAAAAAAATGTTATTATTGCTACTTAGGCTTCATCATAAGGCCACGTATTCATGTACTGGCCATTCATTCCTTTTTCATGTGTCATTAATGATGAATAAGGATTTCGGACAAAAGAAATAAATACATAAGGCCCAGCGTTCATGATTATTTTCATAAACCACAAAGGAAAAAAAGAACACTTTTATCAATAATCCTTTAATATATGAAAGAGGCATGTATTAACAGAATATACAGTGTAAAAGACCAAGTCCCACAGTTTTCATTTACAACACTTCTTCACGAGGTTACCCCTCGGAGTAGGCAGATCGGAAAAATACGGCCGATTGTGGTATTATTCTGCTGTTATCCACAAAGCTTTAAACATAAAAAACAAACAAACAAAGAAAACAGAGGATCTTCAGAAATTTTTGTGGTGGTTTATATCAGACTGACAAACAAGTTGTCTTCATAAATGTCATCTCTGTAAAACCCACCAAATCAACACAAATGCGTTTTCATACCAGCTCAAACCACAAATGTGTTCGATTTGGGAACGTCGGTACTAACACGTGTGGTATTGCTGTTCATATGCTAGCAAACGAGCCAGTTAAGCTGCATTCTGTGTGACATGAGCACGTGCACACGATGAGGTAAGACGTACAAATGTCTGATGTGCTGCTCATTTCTGTTAAACATGCTCGCAGGACATGTCATCCGACGCACTTGGCAGCCACTCTGAATTATACCTGTAAAGCAATTTTTAAAAGGCTCATTCAGATAATTCAATCAGTACAAATGAATAATCGATAATGGTTTATTCCAACCTGAACAGACAAGTTTGTGTATTTAAAGAAAAAGATCCACATATTCAGCTACACAGAGAAACCAGGACGATGTTAACTGGTTGTATCTGCTAATTAAAAAGGTTTTGTGATTGCATATAAATGTAGGTCCACACACACACACACACACACACACACACACACACACACACACACACGGAGACTGAGGAAAAGGAATGCTCATCCGCTTTCATGCTCGCTACAACATATTTAAAAATGTAGAAATCTTCAAGAAAAGAACATTAAAACATCTCCGCATACTCTTGATTCACATTCCTTATCTCGATTCATGTTATGCATTGCACTGCATCAGGATAAAGGGAAGTTCAAACTGAATGTGGAGCAGTAGGTCCACGCTGATAACAGACTTGTACATTCATGGTATGTATAAGGCTCCTTCTCAGGAATGATTTAAGCACCCACAGGGGGGAAGCAGAGAAAATTAAGAAGGTGTTTCTTGATGCAAGGCCATTATGATAAAGGACAAAGCGTAATTAGCATCGTTCTCTCCCTCCTGCTTTACCCTGCATTACAGGAATACAAAAGCAGAATTAGCCAAAGCCGTTAAAAACAAACATACTCGAGCAAGTTCACCTCTGTGGAGTCTGCATATTTAAATCCTGCCAGGCGGCTACTGCGAATTATTATGGCATCATTATCCTTATTACCAAGGTGACTGTCTTGGCACATCCATTCAAGCATGATGTTGGCTGCAGAGCGGTTTTTATTTAAGAGCTGCAGAACTGTAGTCCAGGAGAATTGACACTCACGGCCTCCGCCTGCGTTCAGCCAGATCCTCAGCATAACTCAAACGGCTGCAGCTCTTCACTTCATCAAACATAACACAGGATCTCATCCTATGCAAATGCACTCTTCTGTTATTTCTCTTTGGTCTTTGGAGGGAACGGTGTGTTAAAGACCCTGAGCAAAGACTTTCCAATTAAGATTTTTAGAAGAGAGAAAAAAACCCCAAAAAAAAAAAACATGAAAATGCTTCACAGATTTGTTAAACTTTCTCATTTGTTAATTAGTGGCACACATTCGTTTCAACCCACAGATGTATGGAGGGAAGAGAAAAAAGAAAACAACAAAACACACACACACACACACACACACACACACACACACACACACAGGTTTCATCCAGATTCATCTAACAGACTGAACAGTAAGTGAAATCAAAGAAGCCCACACACAAAGCATGACAAACAACTTTCGCGGCACGTCACGAAAATATAACTCCAGGTGAGAATTAACTGCAAGTACATCCTGTAAAACGACTCCATATTTATTCTAAATGAAATCTGTTTTTGGAGATTACTGGAAGCTGTTACTCACTGATTAGACCTAAAGTGCTGATATAAAAGAGCCTCTCCTATACACACGGATCTACCTGAACCGGGGAGAAGTCATTAAGGCTCTGTTGCTCTTGTGCAGATGCATTGTTCTCCGCTGGCGATATTTCTACTTGTGCATTCGCGGCGCCTAAACTCAAATGACTCCCACTTTGTCGTGTGTTCCTCTTTTGTCAAAAGAGCCCGATGTTTAAAAATACATCAGAATGGTAGAGGCTCTGAAACAGGTGCACTATGATCAGGTAGATTTTTGATTTTTCTTCTTTTTTTTTTTTTTTTTTTTTTTCAAAAGGGAGGGGGCGTGGGTGAAAAGCAACATGTGACATGTGCACACGACAGACGATCTTAAGGTGGCGTCGCTGAAAGAACTCCTATGTATATGTATTCTGCAGACCGACTCTGAGAGAGAAGCAGGGAAAGTTTTCCTGCACTGTTCACAGAATATTAATGCTACTCATCTTTCAGCTAGTCTGCATTGCAATTCCAAACATGTTTTCTCATTTTTGAGAGTGTGTGTGTATATATCTAAAGTGTGTATATATGGACCTGTGTGTGCAGTCAAGTAAATCCGTTCCTAATCTAGCTTGTGCAATGTATCCGAATGACATTGTGACAGCCAGAAACAGCTGTTGTGGTTAAATGCTTTGAATAATATACAGAATTACTGAGTGAAGCCAGTTATAGCAGAACTGAACTCACTCCAAGAGTGTTCTGAATGACTGAATAAATGGGGGGGGGGGGGGGACCCCATAATAATTAAAAAGGCGGTGACGTATAATGTGTAAACTTTAACATGAAAAATAATGTGACTATTTCCTCAGATGGAAACCGTAGCGGCCAGACCGTTTTCTACAAATGCCGCCACGTGAGATAGATTGTTAGCTCGACTATTGTAATACACCATCAATAATCTAGTCAAAGTTAAAAGCAGCATTCATGTTATATTGAGACTGTCGCTAATATTAAAATGGTACGGCGTGTATTTGCTATTCTATTTTAAAAAAAAAAAAAAAACAATCCAAAAGGGAAAAAAAAAAGACAACACTGAATTAAAAGATAAAAGCGTTACTGTAACATTGTTTAATTGTCATTTGATTTCTAGGTTCAACTGGCACTTCCCACATGGAGGGACAATGAATTCACATTTTGGCCGTGGAAATGCCATTTGTTATCGTTTGGCATTCCTGATAACAACAGAATTGTGGCCAGACAAAACCTTGGCAGTTAGCTAATGATATTATTTGGTCTCCATTAGGACCGCTAACATTCACAATACGAAGCTAATTTGCAGCTGACTGATGAGCTGGAAGTAAAACAGGTGCCTGTAAAGCTTAACAATGAACCCGAGAACAGATTTATCTATAAATGACAGGAAATGAATGAAGAATTAAAAGAACATCTTTAACAACAGACATATGTTCTTTTGCAAAGACAAAAATATAAGACAAATATGGTACACAGAAGTCAAGTAAAAAGAAAAAAGAAGATAAAAAGGCCCCAAACTAGCAATCCCATGTGCTTGAGGGATGCTCGGAGATAAACAACAACCTCTATCATTAAACCCTCTTTCTCTGTATAGCACACACTTACAATCCTTACTATTTCATGTCATACAATACACTCAAACAGATGATGCAATCACCATAGGGCGAATGGGGTAACTTTTGGCGTTGATCTAAATTCAACAGACACGGATGGAAAAATAAGATATGCTTTTAACTGGCGGAAGGAAACACATTTTTAGCCAGGCCCTGAGGTATAAGGGAAGGGAGCGGTCGAGGTGCACAAGTTCCATGTACAGAACAGGAAGGACACAAAACTGGAAATTAATGGCACTTTTTACATTTGAACTTGAACAGAAAACTCTTGAAGTGACTTAAATTTGCAGATATGACCGACCAGTGTTCAGTTCAGTCTCTCTTTTGTTTGTTTTTTTAGTGGTCATAAAAAAGGTCACAAAGGAGAAAAATGACACGCAGACGAATCCATGCGGCCAGCCAGTCATCGTCCTCTGGAGGAGAAGGAAGTGTGGGTGTGGGTGCGAGCTGACTTTAAGGGAAGATCTTCAGCCCCCTTGCGGAGCAGGACAAAGGCTCTGTGACAACATGTTGCTTGAGTTTTTTTTTTCTTTTTTTTGAAAAAAGACGTTTTTCCTCATTTTGTTTTGTTTTTTTGCTGTTGTTGTCTTTTATCCATGGCTTCTGATCTCCGAGTTTTCTGGTGTCCTTGTGCAACTGCGTGCCTTAAATAAATTTCTCGAAAGAAAAAAAATAATAGAGGGGGAAAAAAAGTAGGCAGGACTCTCTTCTGTATATTTGGGTTAAAATCCCAGCTGAGTGGTAAACAAAGTTCTGACTGTTTGGTTTGTCTGTGAAATATATTTTCTTTTTCGAGCGTCACTCACACACATATCAGTGTGTGAGAGCATGTGTGTGTGTTGCTTAGCTCAGTGGCAAAAGTTGCCGGCTGTCCGCCTCAGCCGGACGGTGTGCTATGCGAGTTTGGTGCTGGGGCCGCCCCACTTCAATTCTCCTGTCACCAGTTGGCTTTGACAGCTCTGATGTCACTCACGAGGTTTTGAGCAAGGCAGATACCAAAAATCTAGAAGAAAATAAAAACATTTTTTAAAAAGGCCACACAGGATTTTAAGTCACCGGATTAAGGCAAAAAACAAACAAACAAAAAAACAAAACTACAGTTACATGTTTTCAACACTAGATGGAAGCGAAGACATAAAATCAAAAAACTAGAACTATTGTTAGTTTTAATTAAAGGCCTCATTTGCGATACAGCAGGTTTCTTAGTGTGAGAAATCTCCAAACAACAGCTCATTACCTGTAAAAGTGCAATTCCAACAAAGACGCCGGCTACAATAATCAGGTTGTCTTGAAGCCACTTCTCAAACTGTCCCACGCAGCCCTTCGTATAGATAAACTTCTGCCGGTCCAACTCCTTTTTCACAAACATGAGCATAATTCAAGTGCATTAAAGTTTTGAGCGAGAAAACGTGTTTAATTTACAGCATATTGAATGATCTGCTCTCTGAGAGGAAGCTGGCATTGCTCATTATTTAAACAAAAACTGGTACTCTGCCCTATGACTAATGCTGGACACAAACACAAGATAGTGTTTTGCCCACTGACTCCATCACAGTTGATGAGGGCGTGAAGACCTCACGATAAGCTGAGTCACAGCCTAAGATTGCAACATGTCAGTGTTCTCAATTACGCTGACTATCAATGCAGTGTATTCTTTTCCACCAAGGACACTGGTGGACTGAACAGACAAAAGCTGTTTCCTGTTGCCTGACAGATGGCCATTTCTGCTTTTGGATCCAGCTGATGATGTACGTGCTTTACTCAGACACGAACATTTTTACAAAAAAAACAAAAACAGGTTTAATTAACGCTGCAACGAAACTAAAAAGGGGATAAGAATCGGTGCCGCTGTACAATTCATTCTTTGTTATCCTTCAGACAAGTCAACCAGGGAAATCTTTTGTTCTCTCCCAGAACTTGAAATTTAGTTTTAGACCAATGAGGTAGAGAGAGCCACTTTGCAGCCAAAAAAAATAGCAGGAAATGCAATGTTGTTATAGCTGTGGACTTCCTCTAAAGCTATTTCAGCCCTTTGCCTTTGTTGTGCTCCTGTCCTTGCCATACTTCCTGCTCTTCCTCTTTCCCACCCTGCTCCCCGCTCAGGTGCTGCACAGGAACTCTCTGCACATCCCTGATAGTTTCAGCAAAATGTCAATGGCCAGGGCGTTAGCGCACAGAAAATGAATTCATAGCAACTCAATGGCAGGTGGTTCACTGTACTGCAGCTCGCCTAGCAACAGCAATCTTTCTGACTGCAGTGCAGTGAGTTGTAACCACCACACCCACACACACACACACACACACACACACACAGAGGAAAAGGGAACGGACTGGCATAACCCACTGAGTCGCCAATTACAGAGTGTAGTAAGGCTGCTCTTGAGGCTATAACTGGAGCCTAATTATCCCTGTTAGAAGAACAATCTGTTATTAAGGCAAGAAGCATACAGACTAGTCTGTGTAAGCTACTTAACCCACTATGTTCTCTATATCTAACACCAGCCATCTGGTTTTACCTATAGTAGTTTTAAAGAGAGAATGCAGAGAATGCCATAAAATCTCACATTTAATTGGTTTTCCTTTGCATTTCAAACACAAATTCACTTTTTGATCGACTGACAATCAAGTCCAATACAAATGAACCCAACTGTCACTCTGCGTTCGACAACTTAGACCGTTTCAGTCAAACGGGTTTGCAGGCTGTCAGTCAATTCGCCCTCGGGAGTATTTCTCTCCAGCAGCATTGCATCATTTTAACCAAGATTTCTTTCTTCCTGCAGAACTCCACATTTGCAGCTGACTCTATCGTATGAGAACTGGTTAAGTGTTGCAATTTGTTGGGACTCTAAATTACAGATTTCCTTGATTTCCTTGTCTAAAGAGATCTACAGAAATAGAAGAGATACCAACCATTTGCTGCCGAACATCATAACCACACTGTGTGTTGATGACATCCTCCTGCAAAAAAACCAAACCAAATGGAGATTAAAATGGGATCCTCGACCACATTCATCCGTTACAATTTTACCTAAGGTCAGAAGGTTTGAAATAATGACTCTTTGCATGAGAGAAACTTCTTATGTTGACACACATGATGCATGGCTACAGAGTATTACACGAAACAAAAAGCTGATTATGGACAGTTGTTTGTGCTGCTGAAACGCGACTCACTGCAGGGTCTTTGATGCAGCATGAAAAGGGAACGCCACAGCGCTCCCTACTGGGATTCCTGTCAGTGCAGTTGAAGTAGATGTTCATGTTCCAGTCGTCAGGCCCGTGCGCTCCACAGCATGACCACTGGGACAAACAACAACAACAAGCAGAGATTAAACAGCTAACTCTAGTAAACACACAGATGTACCTTCTTTGATCTTGCCATCTGAGCCCTTAACAGGCTGGCTCAGGTCAGCCTAGGTTGTTAGCTTACTATGGCAGGTAATGACTACAAACAGTGAGATTCAAGTATGAACACAAAAGCCAATCTAATCGCCTTTAGGGTGCCTCATGACAGAACCTAGCGTTTACACACAGGAGCAAATGATCTCAACTGCTTCCTCCACATAATTGGATAGCCATTTGACCGAAATACAATCACATTAATCAGAAAAACCACTCCACATTTGCAGCAGCAGAGTCTCTTCATTCTTACCATAACAAGGCTGACTCATCATTTTCTGAGCTCACATGTACAGCCGCATTTCTAAGAAAGGGAGTAACTTCTTCCAGCAAAGAGACATGAACGATTTTAAGATAAGAGATACCATCGGTGGGGGTGAACTCACATATTCCTGGGCAAAGTCGATGAGATTCTGCAAGTCGATGTCATCGCGGTATGCCTTGACATTATTGTTGATGAAAAAGTTAAGCTGGTCTTTGATCCAGTCCTTAAAGACGAAGGCAAGGATCCCTGCAGTCAGCTCCAGGAAGAAGATCAAACCCAGGAACACAGAAAACTGAAAAGTACAAGTAAACACATGCAAACAGAAAACAATACACCTGTCACTTCAAGCAGGGAACAAGGAGCACCAAAGAAAATCCTGTGCCTTTCCCCGCTTCTGCTTAAAAATGAGTGTAAGAACAACTTTAATGTAATGTTCCTGTGCAGGTCAGTTTGTAGGGCCTGTCCTGATTTGCTAAGTGAGAGTGTGGCAATAAAAACTGCACTCCCACAGGTCCTATTGAATAATCCCTTTACAGTAAATGTAGGAGAAGATGCTGATGATAAATGCACAAAAGCCGCATTAGCTCCTCACGCTGATGCCTGATTTACTGCTGCTAATGGACATCTGCTGGAGTTAATAGCTACTCAGAATCACAGGCAGCAACAAGGCGAGTTTGTCTCTGTCAGTCACAGGTTTTCATCAATAAAGCTGAACCCAAATAAATCCTGGTGGTGTTGTGGCTGAAGAAAGAACTGCCTAATACGCATACAAAAAAAAATAGGCTTCAGTGGATCAGTATACCTTTCTGATCATTAAACAGGATTTGGTTTACTGATGAGGTATGATGTGCCACACCATCATTCATACCATTTGGCTCAGACGAGTCAAAGTGACACCTGCTACACAGATACCTTCAGCCCTGGTGTGAAGTGCAGATCTAAGGGGTGTGAAATAATTAAAACAGTGTCTGTGCACATAAAGCCTAGAGGTGGCTTACAAATTTAAGCAGTAAGGTGTTCTCTCTGAGCGCTCCGATACATCCAGCAAAGCCCAGAATGAACATGACCCCTCCGACGACGATGAAGAGCCATACAGGGTCAAAGCCCCCTAAATCTGTGATGGATGACAGATTGGACAGCACGCCCTGAGGGGGAAGACAAAAAGAGTGGTTAAAATTCAGACCATAATATTTCCAAAATCAATCCTTACCATCCCCATGACAAGGTCTCAGTAAAAATTCTCCTTTTACAAAAACACAGTTAACCTTGAGAAGAGCCTGTGATGTCAAAGAGAAAAAGTGAGATTTAACTAATGTCACAGCCTGCTGGGCCCCGTTCACAGATGCAGACTTGTAGCAGGGAAATTTAATAAACTGAAATACTGTTATTCCATTACATTCTTATATATCAATGTGATGTTTTCAAAATAAAATAAAGAACCTCGCTGAGGTTTTGTTATCAGTTTAAATGCAACATGCACTCACTCTATGGCATTTTTGTGACAAAATTATAAAACAAGTAACTTCTCACAAGAGGCAAACTTCAAAGCCTCCTGAAAATACAGAGACATTTGCCCTTCCACTCTCCTCTCTGAAAGCCACAGTGTGACCACCATCTTATTTTGTCAGCCTCTGCGTTCTTAGAATTATTTACAACAAGACAGACTTCACATGTAATCATTCCCAATTCTTAACTATATTGTATATTGCAACTTTGATGCAATAAATTTGATCTTAGGCTGAATTTTCCAAAATTTTCAATTAAATGATTAGTGTCTAATCTTTATGATAGTTTCATTTTAATGGAGGTAGATAGAATATTATCCAAAATTCGAGAAAAAACACATTACATAAAGTTTGCATTACATATGAAATTATTCATGTCATTGAGTGAAACAAGTATTTCATCCTCTGCAAACCAGCCAGAATTCTGGCTCCCACGAGTGTGTGTTGGCACAGAGCCAATCAATCAATCAGTCAAGGATAGTCCTGATCTCAGCCTATTAAGCGTAAAAAGCGTACAAAGCACACCTGCCAAGCCTCTCCACCACCAAGGGCGAGACCAAAGAGCTGTCAAAGTCTGTCAGGGACAAAGTGTAGACCTGCACAAGGCTGGAATGGGCTACGACACCATCACCAAGAAACTTGGTGAGAATGTAACAACTGTTGGTGCGATTATTCCGAAATGAAAGAAATAGAAAATGAACATAAATCACCCTCAGTCTGGGGCTCAGTGCAATGAGAAAAATCTTACCACTGTGCTTGCCAACTGAGGTTTCTCCACCAAGTACTATGTCATGTTTTGCTTGGAGATCAAATACCTATCTCACTCAAAGCCTTGCAAATCAATTTATAACTGTAAATGTGGGTTTTTTCCCCTACATTTTTGGTTTATATTCTGGCTGTCTTTATTAAAATCGATCGTGGCTCAAGAGTTGGGTGTTCGTCTTGTAATCGGAAGGTTGCCGGTTCAAGCCCAGTCTCGGTAGTTGTGTCCTTGGGCAAGACACTTCACCTACCGCCTACTGGTGTTGGCCAGAGGGGCCAATGGCGCGATATGGCAGCCTCGCCTCTGTCAGTCTGCCCCAGGGCTGCTGTGGCTACAACTGTAGCTTGCCTTCACCAGTGTATGAATGTGAGAGTGAACGAATAGTGGTATTGTAAAGCGCTTTGAGGGGTCCCGAAAAGCGCTATATAAATGCAATCCATTATTATTATTATTATTAAAATGAAAAATAGAGACAGTTTATTTCTTTGAAAGTGAGCAAACATCACACAAATCCAGCAGGAAATGAAATTAGTATTTCTTCCGCAGTAACAGTGGGCGTCGTTATTGTTTCTGGATAGCACACTAAAGAAGGTACGTTGCGAAAGCTCCATAAAAACGAGTTCAAGCTTGTTTTATTAACATATTTTTGTACAACCCTGATCCCTGCTATATTTTTCAGTTATTTTGAAAAAGGAAACCACTATGTGTATCCACTCTCAGTCTGACATCCTGTTTGCTTGTCATATATTGTAGTGAACATGCCCAACACTTGCAGCTAAAGTCGAGACAGCTCTCGTACTGAGTTAATCTCCCTCTGCATTGAGCAAGGACAAAACTGTAGGATGAAGGCAATGCTGGATGCTCATGTTTTTATGGCACTGCTGCAGAATAAACTGCACGCATTTAAATTTTAGCAGGAGGCCCTGAAACAATAATGTAGTCTGGCTGTGCACAGCAGGCTTGAAACTAATCATCTTAGTCACTGAGACCCAAACTCACCATTACGACTTTCCAGCAACCACTATTCATCATTCACCCTAATCCCTTTAAATTATTCACGCTGCTCCACAAAGGTACTCCAGCGCAGGCCGATTTGCACAGAGTTCATGACCAGACGTTACTAATCAGTACATGGTTCCACGCTTGTGCAGCGATTTCTTGCTAATTAATGAACAAATTGACTGGTAACTCCTCTGAAAGAAGTTTTGAACGTAGCCATGACTCACTGCACATGAGAGGTTAATGGCAACACCTGATCTTTGTAGCCTGTCCAGCGTTGACAATAAACAGCGAACCAGTTTCTGCGCAAATATACGATCCAATTTATCGTGCAACAGGCTTTCATACGAGATGAAGCACAAGGCATTCAAATCCTGGTAGCTGTAAGTCAAATGAGTGTGTCATTTGGACCCTATGGCTCCTTATTTGCAGCCACAGCCATTTAAAGCTCCAATCACCGGAAAAACAATTTAACCATTAGTAGAGCTGGGCGATAGAACGATAACGATATGTATCGCGATATAACTTTTACTCGATAGAGAAATTAAGCTATCGCGATAGACCTCGCCGCTCTTGTCCTCTTTAAAAAAAAAAAAAAAAAAAAAAAAAAAGGTCAGCCAATCCAAATTAAGCAGCGCAGAGCCGAACCAATCACAGCCGCAGCGTCACGTCGCGTGACTTGTTACGTACAGCACAAGTGCCAAGCCGCACGTGTGTTTGTTTGGGAAACAGCCAGCGGGTAATGGAGCCAGCGCGTAATGGAGGAAATGAGTGTGCCGACTAGAAAAATCAACCGAGCGTGACCGAAGAGAAAACAGATGATGGCTCCAATGCCGGAGAGATTGTCGAACGGAAGAGCCATAGAAGTTCCGTAGTGGGAAGGTATTTCGGCTATTTCAAGTCTGACAAAAACAGAGTAGCGTGCACTGTAAATGTGCCGAAAGCAAGTCTGGAAATACAATAAACTGGTGCATGCGTCACACTGTGCGCCACGTTATTGTTTCGGTGAAATGAATTTCTACAATACTGTTACTGTTAATTCTACTCTCTGCAGTGTTTAAATGCTTACATATACACACACAGTTACTGTCCCTCCACACATACGACTCGGTTCTGCTTCTATGCCCCAGCTTTGTTTACTTTTTCCCACCGAGGCTTCTAGACTTCTGATTGGCCAACATTTCTGCACGGTTAGGAATCTAGCGCCACCTGCTGCTTTGGCATGTTCATAGCAGCGTTTTCCTTCATTTCTGCCTTTATGTGTGGATGGGATTATTTTTTAAAACGAAAACGGAAAATCTCCGTTTTCAAAAATACCCGTGTACGTGTGGACGTAGCCTCAGTCTCTGACTGGAAGCGCTAATTCGTCATTCGGCTTTTGTCAGACTAAAGTAACTGTTAAAACTGTTTGAAAAGCTAAGCTATACAACAAGGAGAGATTGAGAATTTCCTTTTAGTTCTCAGTTTATTTGATATTGACAAAGGTTAGTCAGTTTTGTCTGTTCTTCTGTAAAACAAACTAAGATTTATTTTTAGAATTAATATTTTGTTTCTAAGTGGAATTGACAATTTAGTCTGTTTCGTTTGTTCTATTTTGAAACTTAAACGCTTTAGCAGCTGCCTTTTGTGTAGTTTGCAATATTTGCCTTTATTTATCTGAAAAAGTCTCATGTTCCTTAAGTACATCTACCCTGTTGAACTTATTATGGGAAATAAATATTTAAATAAAAACAAGCTGCTGATTATTTCACATTTTACTTGTGAGCAACGGCACATTTAAATCTTACAAATATAGTTATTTGGCTTATATCGTGATAGATATCGTTATCGCCAGAAATGAAAAAAACATATCGTGATATGAAAAAATCTCATATCGCCCAGCTCTAACCATTAGCTCGATATTGGTTCAACAAAACTTAGTTACACATCACACTGGAGCTGCAGCAGTGAGCATAATTCATATCCTGAGACGTGTTTACCAGGAACATTATGAGGTTATATGCCTTTAAGTGCTACAAAGTGTTACAGGAATAGAGCTTCTATTTTCCACGCCACTCTTCTCAAAAGCTCTGTTTACATCCAAACTCCATCCGATGAATTATACTTCCAGCTTATTACAGCTAGGATATCTGGAAGAATTTTAGCTATGTGGTAACCCGTAGCCAGCGTGTTTGTGTGCATGTGTTTATACATACCTTCTCCGCCCATGCCCACAAGCCTATACCCAAGAATGCAGCTCCTAGTAACTGTAAAACAAAGCACAGAGATGCGGCAGTGAGACGGGAGGCAACTGATACAAACTGAAGCAGTTTATTACAGATGATACGGTTGTTATTGTAGCAAGACCGGGAATGGTTTGGGAGTGGTGTGGATTACACTGGTGTCCCCCTGGCAACATATGTAAACAGCAGAACTGCTTGAGTTTTACTGTGGTAATTAAAAATCTAGTTCATCTTTTGTCATCCACTGCATCCTTTCTAACAATATTCACATAAGAACAAAGGGATCTCTCATTTTTAATTATCAGTGCACTTAAAAAAAACAGAGAGAATCACATAGGAAAGAGACCAATAAAAGAAAAACTGATTTTAGGAGCTTTTAAATAAAGTGAATTCTTCAAAGATTAAATCACAGAGATATTACACTGAGCTGCTGTAAGGGTTAAAGAAAATCCGTCCAATATTAGTCAATATTAGGACGAGTTTAAGGCTCACTGCTTCAACTTGACTGAAAGCCAAGTGGCTGTGTTACTAGCCCACGGTGTCTAAAGATGTAAAAATGACACAAAAACAACAGAATAGCAACAGGATGAGAAAAATCACCGGTTTCTGGTGTTTACACGTAGAAATGTTACTGTCTAATCAGCTGCTTAGCTGCTACAAAATGGCATTCATAAGAGTTTTAGGATGTCGATGGAGAGAGCTGGGGGCAAACTCTAATGGTAATGCCTGAAATATAATAGCTTCATTGAAATTGTGTTAAATCATTTGTTGGGAAGCTGATTAAATCGCGAGAAGCAGGTAAACTAATGGCAGCCCATTAGCACACACCTAACAAGATCAACGTGACAGTCTTGCAAACAACAACAGCAGTCAGCAGTTGGATTGGGGGGGCTGCCTTGACCTGGTAGTTATATAAGCGTCTGTAGCGAAGGGTGTGGTAGATTCAACTGGAAAGTGACAAGCAGGAAGAGTCAGTGTATGCAGGCAGACATCAGAAGAGATTAGACTGACAGAGTGGGAGTATTACAGCACTTAGCCTTTGACTTCAAGTTTTTCATGCAGATTAAAGAAGCTGAAAACCGTGACAAAGGAAACCACTTGCGTCTTGCGGCATGAAATGCACAGCAACACAATGCATCAGAGTCGCCAGACAACATGGATAACTACTAGTTCACTTATTCAAAATAAGGACATTTGTACAAGGCTGCTTTCATTTTTCTATATTTGAATGTTAATAACCAATTTGGGGCACTGAACTACTTAAGCAGCTTTGTCAAGCTTGGCTTCAACCCTAAAATGGAATCTATGGAAGCTTTCATTCATTTTGCTTCTCTACTTCAATGCTGATCAATATTTTTAGGCAAAAAAGAAGACATTTTAGCATCAATACAACAGTTTTATTATCCGAGTCTGAACAGCATATAGGACCAGAGCAGAAAAAGGCAAGCATATGACTCAGGTGTGCAAAAATTCCAATCAGTTTCACATCATTGTTTTGCAAAGTGCAACCTTAGCACGCTTTGACGCACTGATGAAAGAAACTGAAAAGCTTGGAGGCAAAGCAATTCAATAGACTGGACATTTTGGAGCCTGCTCTCAGTTTCCACCTCTAGTGACTACACCCAGAAGAAGCCTTGCTCATAAGTGCTCTGTTTTCCAGTTCTTTTCCATGGTTCAGGAGTTTATTTTAAAAAAAAATAACCTTTTCTTGGATATGATAATGGTTCCTGTAGGTCCCTACACTACACCGCTTTACCACAGTTGTGCACCAACACAAAAAGAGCAGTACACAATCTATCCAGGAATCTCATCAGTAGTAGCTTGTTTGCCTGTCCTCCCAACAGAATAGTGAACTTGTAGTCAACCTCAAAAGCCAGGGCAGGAAAAGGAAAAGAAAAACCCCCCCAAAAAAACCATACTGTTTTTGCCAATTTTCAATGAACCCATCGCCATGTTTTTAGAAATCTAAATAAAGTTAGGAGTCAGAAAATTTACCTAATCTTTGGCACGCAGCTTTAAACCACACCAAAATCATTGTAATTCAATTATGCAGTAAGAAACAAGCTGAATGGTAAGCTGTGGCATTTTTCCAGTTCTGCTAATGGAAACATTTTTATCTGAGAGGGTCAAGCGGGACATGCTCAGTCCAGCTACTGCTTTCGCAATATTCCGCTTAATCAGGAAGAGTTCATGCCAGTAAACACACAAAACCAGATATTTTCACGGAAATGCATTTAGTTGGCTCATCAGACCTTGGAAACCACAACACATTCTGAGTAACAGTGAAAAACATTACTTGTTTACAAGAGAACTCCATATCACTTTTAGGCTGCATTTGGTAACAGTACCAGTACCCAGAGTTACACACCACAAACATTTATCTACACACAGAGAGGTACACCACACAGGCTTTTAAAATAACTAAATGTCCAAAACCCGATACAGACACCAACATTTTTCGCCCCTTTCAATCGAAGTGTTTGTTGTTATTTCACTAGGGATGTCACTCTGCCTCCTCACTGGATAATATCAAATAACTTGCCAAGCATCCTGGTATTATTTTGGTGAGCATAGTATTAAAATTTTCAATCTTGCATCTTTAAGCTCATCCAGTCTTTTTGATTTCACCTAAGAAATCTAACAAACCAACCCCATCAGTCGATACCAAGGAAGCCTTTAGTACATAATCAAAACATCTCCCATCTAGATTCTGCAAGTCATTTTTAACCTCCTAGGACCTGGCGTTCACATACGTGGACATCACATTTTGGGTTGTCTAGACCTAAAAACACTAAATTTTTCTCTACAAGGGCCTGATATCCACTTACGAGGACATTCTACTGCCACTGTTCTATCAAAATTTAAAACGAATGTCCTTATATGTGGATCTTATACTTGTCAGAAACAAAAATCAGGTAAAAAAAATAAAATAAAATCTGTCAATTCTTTGTTTTTACATTCATGAGGTCCTAATATGCCCAAATATCAAAGAGATATTAAAAATGCATGCCATGGAAGAGCTCGGGTTTTAGGAGGTTAAACGCACCCCACTCGTTCTTGCAGTCCTCTGCAACCAGCCTAGCTTCTGCTCGTCTAGGCAGTAGAAGCTAGGCATTTAAGAAAAACTAACAGGTGATCACATTCATCCTTATTCTTGCTTCGCTGCATTGTCTTCAACTGGATTTTAAAATTCCGTTGAAGACTATTTTAAATGTTTAGTGACATACAAAGCCTTGCTGAGACCTTATTCCATCAGTCAACTTCTCTGACCATATTTTGATTTATTTATTTGACATGTTTTTTAATTCATTACATCACTGAAATGTGAAAGAAAAGAAAAAAACTGATGTGGCAAATACATGATGCAAAATCTGTTCCACTACCAAAATGTCTGGCTACGACTGTGTATGTGTGTGTATTAGGGCTGCCACGATTACGTCGACTATTAAAATCGTCGACGACTAATTTAATAGTCGACGCGTCGTTTGAAGCTTTGTAAGATCCCAAAAGATGCAGGAACACCATGCAGACACCACAAAAGTATTTTGTGATGTCTGGATGGTGTTTGGTTATAGAACCAATTTTATTATTATTTTTATTTCCGTTCAAGAAATAAATCATTGTTTCCCACATCAGGTTGTATTTCCTCCTGCCACAGCTTGAAGTGGCACTGAAGACAGTGTTAAAGAGACATCTATGCCTGGTACTAATTTATTCTTGGGGGCGGGGGAGGTGTCTGTGAACTGTTATTTTATACTTTATAAAGTTAATGTAAGTTTCAGACGGGATGGATTCCTGAAATTTCTAATTTCTACTGAATGTGTTGTTTTGTTTGTTTTTTAATCTATTGCGGAGATTTGACAGGACAGATCATCTAAACAGTATTGTGAAATATTTACCGTGATAACTGGCAGTATGTGTTTGTGCTCTGTGCTTTTTGGAACCTTATCTGTAAATCAAACTTCCCTTTAAAGACCAGTACATTTTAGACTGAACTTACTGAAAGAATACACAACACAAAAAGAACAAACTGTCTTTGTATAGTGCTTGCGTAACATCCTTATTTTGACTAACTTTTCTCACAACCTGAATCTAATTCAGGTGAGCTTGTGGCAATAGAATTAGATATGTGAGACAAATCTCTAAATACCACTCTCTGTGGCAAAACGTCCTTCACCTTATTAAGAAACTCCTTAAGCAAGACAGCTGGCTTTGGGACTTTGTTGATCAGGTGCTTTGATGAAGGAAACCTGCTACCTTTTCCCCAGTAAAGGTTTTAACAGAGAGGACAGGAACAGCGCTGCATGTCTGGACAGTAGAAACATGTTTTCTTTCACTCAACCTGAGCTCACCATCTGCTGTTGTTGTGTTATCAGTGTTTTTGTTTAAAGTCTGTTTTTAGTCGCAAATGTGGGTTAAACCCTTGCGTCTGTTTGTCCATGGTGACAGTAGTGTGTTACAGAGCCGTGTGCTAAATGAAACGCCGACGCAAAGAATTTCTGTCGAAAACTTTTCTTTTACAATCGAATTATTTGAAATACTCAATAAATCGTTACAGCACTAATCTCTTTGTACAACACAACAATGTACGAGTCACCACCTTTGGTTTTTTAACAATATGTTATTAAAACACTCAGGATCTGTTCATTTAAATCTCACCCGCATGGATAATGCATTTCTTTTGCTTTTGATTAATTTGATCATTCTGTCAAACCTATGTATTTTACCAGAAACTAATTAAATAAAGTCTGAATCTAGATGTCTCTTTATTTGCATTATTATTCAAATCAAGGTTCCTTCGGTGTCAAGTGCTGCTTGTAAAATATGTCCTTCCCAGAGCGAGGGTTTTCTCTCCATGTGGACTAAGAGATTATCAACACTTGAAAAGATGCCTCCCTAAGCCAGCTGATCCCATTAACCTCTACTAACTGTCAGACAAATCAAGCTCCCCACTCCTGCACACGCATGCACACATACACACACAGGATATAGTGTGAATCCCCTTTCCATGACTCCCTAAAAAAATGAATATTTAATGAGGGGGATAGTGTGACACCGTGATTCTCAATCTCAGCAGCAATGTCAACAGGGTGAGCAAATTGTTAAGCTCCTTACATTCCACAACATATATCTTTACTACTAATACTTTCATTTTGCATCACATGGCTACAAAATATATATACTATTTTTGCAGTTTAATTCTTTACATCAAAACTTAATTCGAACGTCCAAAGAAAATAAACATTAAAGATTCAACACCAGATTCTGAGACAGAATGAATGAATAGAAAAAAGGAAGAAATATCACTAAGCGCACTCTGACACCATGTGTTGGTAGAAGTAGAAAATAGGAAATGTAGCACAAACGACAAAACAGGAGGACGGCAGAAAATGGAAACAGACATTTAAAAAAAAATATGATAGCATTTCACAGAAAACAAACCTAAATGTAGACTATGCAAAGCGGCGCTTTCCTTTCACGAACGTACCCCGAGCTGTGATGTCAACTCTGAACGGGTCAATTTTAGAGAGTTAAGTTTATGTTAATAATGTTTATGTTAGATGACCTCTCAGAAACTCCTCAGGATGATACTTGCTAAAGAAACACCATTTCAGTTTTGTTAGCTAATGAGTGAAATGTGATAGTAACCCATTAAACAGGAGTAGCTACACTGTCTCCTAGTCTTTTATTTTTTCCTCACTCTAATATTAGCATTTATTCTACTAAACCTCTTCCACCTTACATTAGGTAGTTATTCTTTGGGTTATAAAGTTTCATTTGCATTGAACACTACACTGTCTGAGAAACTTTGATATACAACTACAGTGATTGGTAACTGTCTTTTCTAATTTTGTTTTGTTCTGTTTTACTAGTATTAAGCACAGGCGTATAGATGAGTTGGTTTTAAAAGGGGGCTCTTGCACCTCTCAAATGGCTGAAGTCATGACAGAGAGGATGTCTAGTTATCAGCATCTCAAAGACAAGAGCAAGCCTCATTCCAGAGCACATCCACTGCAATCATGAAGTCATAAACTGAATCATCTGTAAACTTTGCAAACTTATTATTTTGGACTGGAAAAGAAAATCTTTTTGATTTCTTTTAAATATTTATTTGAGTTTGTGGGCAGAAGCCATTTTTAGTTTTCTATTAGCACGTCTTTTGTTTAAATACTGCTGGCACTTTTATTTCGTATTACATAACATTTTTATTTTTTTCATTTTTATTCTGACGGTCCTGTTGAGTAGTGTTAAGAACAGTGTTGGTCAAGTTACTTGGGGAAGTAATCAGTAACTAATTACTGATTACTTCCCCAAAAAAGTAATCCCGTTACTTTACTGATTATTCATTTTCAAAAGTAATTAATTACTTAGTTACTTTTTAAAAACACGATTTACAACCTGAAGAGGTGATAAAGCGATAGATCTTTCAGCCCAATTCTACTTTTTCTACATAATCCATCATACAAAATGTAATCAAATGGAAAATTATCTTTTTTTTAAACTTGTTTTATCAGTTTTAATCTTTTAACTTTATGCATCAAGCAGAAATTTAATTATATGCAACATTCTCTGACTGGAATAAATTAGTTTAACATTTAAACCTATTTTCTGCACATTCCAGCACATAAAATAAAATATTTTTTGTGTTTACACTCAGTCTTTCAAATAGATGCAAGTAAAACACAGCAGAAAATAAATAAAGTCAAAGACTCAGCGGTCCTTTTGCTCTATTTTCACCTGTAAAGCAGGAGTAGAGTAGGCGGAGGTTTACGCTGGTGCAGGTGTGCTGCGGTCAGTTGAAGAATCCGCGAGTTTCTCTGCGAATTTCCCATTACGTTGTTGCGCACTCGGTGCTTGTTTAGGGGTTTTGTTCGCTGTAAAAAGAAGTTTTCTTCCCACGCACAACGGACACTAATGTAATTGCAAAGCTGTCTGACAAATTTATTTACATATTGTGTTCAGTGATTAAGGCTACATATCAATTCAAAATGATCAATAAGAGATAAAGGCAGAAGTGGCATAATATATCATATAACTGATCAGCTGCCATGTCGCCATTTTAAGGTAGAGTCACTGAAACGGCCTGATATGAGAAATGCTGAAAATAAGGTAGCTTATCAACATTTATTCCTTCATTTCATAAATACTGAGAAAATCTGACTGAATGCTATCAGTAATGCAATCAACATTGCAATAACTAGACAAGTTTATCCATGACTAAGTCACAGAGCATGTCTCCGAATAGCGTCACACCTGGTTGTTTACAGGTATGCTCCAGAGCTGTAATCATGCAGCTTGCCTTTTGGTGCCAAATGTGAAAAGACAGAGCTGTAGCTGGCTAATAACACTCTCCCTTGCATTCAACCAACTCAGCAACTTGGTTACAGCTTAACAAGCTCTTAATTACAGCGTGCAGAGCTCCCAAACATTTCAGCAGCTCAGGCAGAAAACGTGATTAATTAATTGGATGTGGGGAATGTGTCTATTCTAAGGATGAGAGAAGGTGTGTTGTTCTTGGGTGAGAATGCCTGGCTGTCAACAGAAAGCCTGGGTACTGCGAAACCTCACACCAAAAGCAAGTATTGTTCCATTTTGTTCACAATATTTATGGCCTTACAAGCATTTTGTCTCAATTTAGGCAGCCCTTTCAAGCCTGACAAGATCACTAGAGGAAAGACAAATGGGTTGATTTGTGGAGTATAAACCCCATCTCTTTCTATTTCAGCAATGCACTGGCTTGTCTGTCAAATCCAGTTCTGCAGCACACAGACAAGAGTAGAACATCTTCTAGTGATTATTAACGGAAACAGCCAGCGAGCTGGAACTTGTTCCACTGTTTTACAGAGAATTCAGACACATGACTGTTAGCTTGGCCTAACTGTCAAACACTGCAAAAGAACACAATGAGTCAGATACAATGCTGAAAGCCCATGACTCAATATTTCCTTGTTGATTGCTCATTCAGATGAAACTACAATAAACTCTGTATTTATGTCGATAATAGTAGCCTCTGTATCTACAAATATCATGTTCATGGAAATATGTGGCAGGTATGGTGCACTCATATTTGTTTTTGAAGGAAAAGTGTTGCGGAATGAGGAAGCGATAAGGAAAGTTTGAGCAATGCCAGAAAAGGCAGATATACATGAAGTCCGTGTTCCTTGTGAGTCTGATAGAGCAACCGTATGATGGGAGAAAACACAGACTTACAAGCCCCCCTCCCAGCCTTTGTTCTCACCATTACTCTTTGTGCATTTGTGGGTGTGTGAGCGAAGACAAACAATGCTGTCCCGCACAGTCTGGGTGCTATAGTATAGAGTGAAAGAAAGCATGGAAAGGGGAGGGTTGGGTGGTATTCAGACTGTATGGCCTTTTCCTTTAAACTGTGTGTGGGAAGACCTCCTGGGGCAGACAGACACGCCATTCCTTCACCCACAGACATTATATTATACCAGCCCACAGAGGCGATGCAGATGAGTGAGGAGGGAGGTGTGGGCAAGACTGAACAGAGAAACTTTTCAGAGACGGGATAAAGATGGAGGGAGGGGTATTGTAAAGTAGACGTGCAACCACTTGCCACTGCCCCATCAGTTCTGGTGAGAATTATGCTATTGCTCAGCTCAACTAGGAGCAGAAACTATTATGAAAGAAAATTGCTCCTTTATTTTTCTTTACTAAACTTTACATTTAAATTGAGAAGTTACATTTATAAGTAATCTGTCTCTGATGGCCAAAAGTTTCTAAATGGAAAACTGTAAAGTTTACAAGTAATAAGCAGAGGCAAGCAAAAAAAAAAAAAAAAAAAAAAATCTAAATCCTAAATAAATGGAGTGTGTAGCTGACATTTTAGGGCATGAACACTGTCCTACATTAAACAAATAATTTCCTCCTCATTTACAACAATCTACTTCTGTGCATGACAACACACTTAAACATCAACAACACCGCATAGATGGATGGGGAAAAAACGTGACTTTCATTAAAATCAAGTGACTCAGGAAAAAACAAACAAAAAAATATATACTAGATGGAGCTCAGCGATCAACTTCCATTGGCCAACTGCAACTGTGCTAACGTTCCCGACGTTTACACGAATGTGCACTTCAAGTTATCACTAGTTACGTGAAATTTCTAATAAAAACAAAAGGAATGAGTAACAACATTGTGTTTACTTACCCAGAATACAATGTTGAATCCAAATAAAACGTATTTCACACAGCAGCTGACTTCGGCTCCTTTAAAATGACGGTGTTTTCTACTCATTCTTCCACGGAAAGTGGTGGCTAACTGACGAGCTAGGCAACTACTATGACTGATAATCAACCAAAGCTACAGTTCTTAAACAACTGAATACAAGGTTAGCTGGCTCCATCAGCTAAGCAAACCCCGCGTTAAGTCTTCCGGGTTGGTTAAAACTCAGACATATGTGGCTAAACTGTCTTTAACTCGCTTTGACTATTAGCTTGCTAGGCCAGCTAGCTCGCAACTTCTATAGTTAGCATTGGCTGCTAACAACAACAAATCCAGGAGCACTTCAACTAAGGCACACAGATGCGGCTCTGCAGCTCCGTCGACATTCAAGTTGCCTGGTGTTTACGTCGCTTCGCTTGCCGGATGATCGAGATGGCGGTACTTCAGCTACACTTCCCTAATGTTATCTGTGTCGCTGCATCGCCGCTTGTGAGTCTTCATCCTTGTTGTTTTGTGCTGTAAAACAAGCCCCTGCTGTCAAACGGGAAAACCACTGCGCTGGCTTTCGCCCTTTTCGCTTCAAGAGCGGCCTCTTGTGTCTCAGCCTAGCTTGACCACACAGAGAATAAGCACTGTATGTACGAGGTTGCTTCATTAAAAGCTGCAATAGGAAGTGGCCAGGTTTATAGTGTGAGTTCAAATTGAAGGAGTGCACAGTAATTAAAAAAAACAAAAAACGGGACAGGACAGTATGAGTAATGATATTAACAATCATGTATAATGATTAATAATTAGCTAGATTCTAGCTCATTATTTACACCTTTGCCTACACCTGCCACGACGCATTAAAATATCTGCAGTGAGAAAGGTCGATTAAGCATGACACTCTAATAAACTGGGGTACTCAAGCGCAATTATATATTCATAATTTCAGCCATAATGTTCTGGCATGACAGGCTGAGTAATTTCACTCCTTTAAGTAAGTCAGTGAAGGAGAAATATAGATAACTGCAGAATATTGTGAAAATGTTGTGAAACGTGATCAAATGAAAAAGGAAGTGAACAATCTGTTCTGAACAACTTTGCCTCATTTGAACTTCTGTCTGGAGTCCTACAGATGGCAGTCTATGATCCTGCGATAAATGCATTTCCTTTTCACCTCTGGGTGCTCCACTCTGGGGCATGCCAACCTTCTAACTATTGCCAGAAATGTGTATTATGTTGTACTGACAGTAAACACAGCATAAAACTGTAAAACCAAACAGTATTAGCCTGCATTAGCTATTAGCTACATGTAATATTTTCATCCGGTACTCTACTTTTTCTCAATATGGCATAAACCCGCACCTAATTACAAGACAAAGACATATTATGAAATTACAAATACACTGTCCACATTGTCATATAATTTTAAAGGAGCAGCTGTTAAAGGGCCTTAATGTTGTAGTGATACATTTAATAGTACATTTATTGGCTGATAAAGTTTTATTGATTATAGAATAAAAACACTAACTTAACATTGTAAATGCGGATATGTTACTACTTATCTTCCGTGACCAGCTTCACATTTTATTTAGATACATCATAGCTAGGGAAATGTTATGCCACTGATGAACAATGGCTGTAAGGTCAGTTTCTTGATCATTAATATGTAAATTGTCATGACCATTGATCAATGACCATTGATCAATGTACCATTCACAGAGAGTTGGGAAATGGCTGCAATCATGAAAGATGTACCCTTAGGCCCCTTTCTTGATCTAGCTCTTTCCCTTTTCACATAAATGGAATCCTTGACTACCCGTTCAAACCAGCGTTCCTTCCTGTCCAGGATGTGAGCATTCTCTTCATTGAAAAAGTTGGCACTGGCCCGTAGGTGTGAATAGACTGCAGAGTCCTGGCCTGACGACGTAGCTCTTCTGTGTAGTGCCATCCGCTTAGCCAGAGGTTTTTTGATTTCCCCGATGTAAAAATCGTGGCAATCCTCCTGGATCTTAACAGCGTACACTATGTTACTCTGTGCCGGGGGACCGGATTCTTGGGGTGGACCAATTTTGAGGCAGTGTGTTTCGGGATTTAAAAGCGACAGAGGGGGGGTGTTGAGAAAAAATGCATCTCAACTGTTCTGACACATAAGGGATCACTAAATTTAAAGGATGCCGAGAGCATCCTTTAAATTTGCTTAAGGCCTTCTTGATGTGATGTTTTTCTGCTTCCCTGGCTGCTGTACCTGTGGGGATGGTGTTCGTCATGTGTTGTAGCGTCCTGATGTCACCCAGTTTGTGTTCCAGTGGTTGATGATGCGTAGGTTTACAGTACACATCAACTTTTAAATATCCCCATTACTCATGGAAATCTCACAGTCTTTAGACTCAAGTTCACATCAAGTTTGCCAGTTCTGTAAACTTGTTGTGTTGGTCCACCGAGTTTATGTGATCAGTGAATTGTGTTATGTCCTGAGATTTGATTTTCACCCAGGTGTCATCCACATACCTGAACCAATGACTTGGTGGTGTTCCAGGGTAGAATAACGGGCCCTCTTTTTTCAATTATATTCCTCATTAGGGTGATGGTTTTATAAAAGACAATAGCAAAGACAAACTGAAAATATTTAATCTAGTGTGGCATTTTTTTTATTCTGCATAAAATCATTCAAAGATCATACAGTTATGCAGCATGGGTTATAAAATGCAGGCATGCAATCAGCCCCCCCCCAAAGCACTCCAAAAAAAACCTGCTTTCAAATTCAAAACTATAACAATTCTTGTTAAAGTCTGAGAACTTCTGCAGTCCACCTAGTGGTGACCCAGGTTGAACTCAAGCCGTGACAGTGATAGGCCTAATCCTGCTGAAGGAGCCGGGTCACTGTGTAGCAGGAGTCCCCGTCACTCAAAAGACAAACAGGGTAAATATTTAGAAATGTGCTGATGCTTTTGGCCTGAGTGTCAGGGAATGAAGGAATGATCTGTTGTGCTAGCAAACGACTTGAGAAGGTGGTGTAATATGGCTCCACACTTGAAACATAACATCGTTCTGGCAGCAGTTATGTTTGCGGCTAAGTGCCACCATCATCATGTCAGCATATTGCATTCTCCAGCTGTGGGCTTTTATTTTTTTACAGTATAGAAGTGTTTGAAGGTAACATTTTGAGTGACACTTCTCAAAGCAATCAAGTTTTTGAACAACCCCTTCTTAGCTGATGAAATGGAATGAAAAGAAGTGCAAATCAAGTATGAAGAGAAACAATAAAAATGAACGAGAACATACATTTGATTTTTTATATGCATTTCAAATACATACTGGTCCTCCAATCATCTTCTGACAATCACTTTACAACGTACAACATTCTTCAAAATCTTTTCTCCCTCCTCTCCATAAAAGCACACACTTGTGTGACATCCACTTTTACTTCTGAACTCCTCTCGAACAGGCTCTCAGTGAAATATATAAATTTTAATCCATTCCTTGTCTCAAACCTTAATCAACCGTTTTTCTGTCGACAACAGCAAAAGAAACAAAAAATACAACAATTTTGACATCTTTCTTGGAACTCGGAAACAGTGTTTGATTGAACAGTTGTATCAATGCCCTGTCTTACCTCCACATAAGTCTCTGTATTTAACATTCCCTTTTTTTCTGTCATTCTTCGTCAGTCTGTCTATAAAGCTTACATTCATTTCAGCAAATCAGAGCAACATCTATACGCTTTGCTAAACTCATTATTGCACTGTGATATTTATGCATTTTACTTACTTTGCAGTGGTTACAGCTGGTAATAAATGAGTGTGTGCTACCTAAATACTGCTGTGTTTTTGTACTATGAGAATGCCTCATCCAAAGCAGTTTAAACTCACTTGAGGGGTATATTTACATGTTACTCATTTTCTTCAACATTTTTAGGTCTCAACCCCAATTTTCTACTTGCATCATAACAATAGTTCATTAATGATGTTTAAAACTGATACTTTTTCTTCAAACGCTTTTCAAACACAGTATCGACAGTGAAGATTCTGTATGTTTGTTGTGAAAGTATAATATGTAATGAAAAATCTTTGGTTATTTTGAGTCTTTTGCACTTTTTTTGGCATGTAAGAAGCATACAAGCCACAGCAACTGTGTTGTGTAAAAAGCTTGTTCTTGTCAGGCCATACTACGAATGTGAGCCATATGAAATACTATAAACTACCTCGATACAACATATACCATTATAGGATTTGCAATCAAAGTTACTTATGTAGTACTTATCTAATATTAGTCTGATGAAATGTCTCTAGAAACTCAGTTACTTGGTGATCTACTTCCACAAAACTCTATGAAATCAGAAACTGTGCTTTTGCCGACACTCAATAACGCCCTCACAGGTCAGTGGAGATGGTACTTCGTTTCACCCTCAGGCTGCCGCCCCAGCCGCGGGGACAAGTGTTGTAGGAGTGGAGGCCGGGCGAGCGGAGGCCTGAGTCTTCGGATTCAACAGATGCGTCGGAGTCGGTCAGGGAGCGAGTGTTGTAGAGACGCACAGGAGAACAGATTCTCTGAGTTGGAGTTGGGGGAGGGCTGGTGAAAGTAGGGGACTGTGCCCCCAGTGACCGTGACTGGAAGAGGTTGACGGGTGGTTTCTGACCGTCGTAGCTCAGTGATGAGATGGGAAGACTGTGACCACTTAGTGCACCAGGAGAAGGGCTGTTTTTACGTTTGGCTGCATTGATGATATTTTTGGCCAGCAGGCGATGGTTGGCTTTAGAGTCCAAGTTGTTAACTGTGGGAGACATGCAGCGACTGTCTTTGGTCAAGGAAACAGGAGAGGTGACGGAGGATGTGTAAAGAGGTTTAGTGGTAGAGAGAGAGAAACTGGTTTGAAAGTGTGAAGGAGACTGAGAACGTGAGCCCCATGGAGGAGACACAGGAGATGTGACTGTAGATGGCTGGGATGGTCTGGATGTGGAAACTAAGAAGCTAGAGGACTGGACCTTTTGGCTTACTAATGGTGATTGGCATCTTGATCCCCAAGGAGGGGTGGATACATTTGTTTTGGAAGGTCTGGACGTAGGAACTGAGGAGCTAGTGTAAGGCTGGGTATTCACCACTGGGGATTGGCATCTAGATCCCCAGGGAGGTGTGTGTGGTGAAGTTGCTGTAGATGATTGGGGAAGTTTAGATGAAGAAAATGAGAAACCAGTGGAGGGCTTGTTGTTCTGGGTCGCTGGGGATTGGCACCTTACACCCCAAGGAGGAGAAAGGGGAGAAGGAGATGTAGAAGTTTGGGAAGCAGGAATTGGGGAAATGATAGCGGACTGGCTGACCACTGGGGACTGACATCTTGAACCCCAAGGAGGAGAGCGTGGAAAGGTGGCTGTAGATGTTTGTGAGGGTCTGGATGTGGAAGTGGAGGTAACTGTAGAAAACAGGATATTCTGAGTGCTCATAGGCGATTGGCATCTTGAATTATTACGAAACGATACAGGGGACGTGACTGAACGGATGGAGCTTGTGAGGGGTGGTGGGCTTGTTTGGAGGCTAGAAGTCCAGCTTCCAGTAGCTGGGCCGCCCGGGTTGCCTGTGAGGTTACGTGTCCTGGTCGGTGTAGATGTCTCACTGGGAACTTCAGCAGGAGTGGACTCCTTTGGTGTCTGT